TCTGTGACAACAAACACCGAACCCACGCGGAGGAGTTCCGTGATATATTTGCTTTTGATTCTAGTGAAGATCCACGCCATTTGTCCGAGCATCCGTCCCCTTCGCCGTTCTGGCTCTTTGCGACATGTCGACCCCAGTGACCTCGAGCCGTACGCGTACGATCGAGCACCGCGCTTGCCCACAGTTTCATTCAGGTTTTCCGTTTAGAAACGACAAATCAAATCGGACCTCGTTCTCCGATAGTCCAGTAACGGATTGTAGTCCGAGCTCACGCCTCGCTGATCGCTCCGGAATTCGGAGGAGACATTCGTTCGTAAGTGCTCTACCGAGGGTATGAGGGTAGGGGGAGGGGGTTGTAGCCAGCCCGCTGCTCAATCCTCCCGTTCGATATCCTGCAAATTAACGCAATGGATGTATGTCCAATACATTCCTCGGCAGAAGGGCCCGACTATCATTTTTCACTGGGTAACAGAACTATTCGTTCCTACATCAGAATCGAATTCCCATTCGAACTACTCAGAGCGCTCCCCAGCGCGAGCCGCTCCGCCTCCCTCCACGCAGGAACGGTCCCATCGATCCCTTTGAAATATTTCGGCGCCAGCGTAAGCGATCGACCTGGCGCTCCTTCGAACACTGGCGGTCCCAGGTCCCACAGGGAGAGAATCGACGCTGTATGGTTGAAAGCGAAGACTAACCAGAAGGTTATGTAAATCAGAAATCACATCTTCGGAACGAAGATAGAGTGGTGATGTCCCGGGCGAAACTCCCAGGAACAAGACGGAACTTCCGTCGGCTACCTAGGCGATTTCCATTGGACTTTCAAACGATCCGGGGGGATTCGTCAGGAAGCCAGTCGCTCCACCTCGCTGCTGTTCATCAGTAAGCAAGTCGACCAGCCGTGCGAAACTGGAGCTCCACCTTGAGGGAGGAACGATTAAGGAACGGGTGAAAAGTTTCCTCGAGTCACTTCGCTCCGAGTATTTTATCCTTAACGAACGGCACTCAAACATTGCTCAGCTTCGCGGTCTCGATTCTTTAGCGGTTTCTCGGAAAAGAAGAGCGTCCCCCCAAGAATCGCAGCTCGCACATCCCAATAAACTAGCAATGGAGAGGATCGACAGAAGGGACATGGCTGAAACTTTCGCGGGGATTTCTGGGGAATCGGGGAATCGATGGGTATTCCGTCAGAGAGATTGCGGGTCTTCCTACCACGGGGGAAGGACAAAAGCTCCGATTGATGTCTCCTTTATCGAGGCGGCGAGTTCTCACGAGACAAAAACTGCCGGCGCGGATCCGCTGTCGGAGCCGGCTTACAAAGAATCTGTGACCGTGTGTTTTGAGTAGATACTTTTTATATTTCACCACTTTTTTTTATGCGTCGTAGTGACGGCGGCGACGACGGCGGCACTGTTTCGGTGCCGACTTCTTCTGATCCACGTACCTGCCCCATACGGGAGGAGAGAAGAAGAAACGAAGTAGCTTTATCCCATAGAGTGGGGACAATGACGTCGGTACGGAGTGGAGGGGAGGGAATCCGTTTTTCACAAACACAACGACAACTACCGCGAGCGCACGGTCAACGACTACTCGCCCTGTAATTTGCCGCGACGGCAGATCTAAGTACAGCTTCGGAGATAAGCCTACAGAGCAGAAATCGCTCGATGTCGCTCTGCACCAACAGCGTGGCACTTTCCCATACAGATGTCTCAATCCAAGACACATCACGAATCCGAACGCTCGGGAGATATACCGAAAATAGTCTTAACAGTTTCGAATCTTTCGTGAGCGACGATCTCCATGCTACGAGGACCAGCGAGAGCGCAGTGCAACAGTCTCACTTAGTCGCTCTATCAGGGAGCCGGGAAGCCGGAGGGGGATGGAGTGAGACGATGGGAATGAGTTTTCGCAATTGAGATTTTTCTTTTGGCGCGCTCTCACCTGAGTCAGCGAGAGCAACCTCGGCGATCAGACGATTGCGGTGCGCTGTGGAGCTGCAAGAGAGGGACTGGATAAGCGGATGAATGAGCTGTCGTCGGCGGTGATATCTTCCCTCTGGGACGAGAAGAGGGAAAGGGGTCATCGCATAAGTGGAACATTCAGTCAATTATTCCAATCGTTCGACTTTCCAGCTGGTGTTGAGAAATGCCTAAATCCACGCCAGGTGAAGTTGCTTGGTTGGTTTTGATCGGGGAAATATGCAAATCAGGTCGTGATTTATTCCGCTGTAATTTATGGTAGTGCTCTTTCGACTATATTCTTCCGTAGCGCGGTGAGAGCTGTCGGGGAGAGATCGTTCGGAGCTGGCTAGTCTGTGTGGTGCCGAAGCTGTTCAAAAACTTCATTTGTCTACTTGTTGACAACTTCATCTGAATTCTCTCTCTGGCGCTTCCGAGCTACCCCCGATTCCTCCCTCCGATACTCATCGCATGACGAATCGACACGGAGTTCTAAAATACTGACCTTCCTCTTTTTCCGCTCCATGCGTCTCTCGGATTCGAAATCTCCGATGTCGTATGATATTTTCCGTCGGTTCTATCATCTCCGCGGGAGGTAGCACTGGATCCAACGAACCATCCAGGACGATTCCGGTTGGGGAAAGAGAGGGGGGGGAGGAGGGGCTGCAACGGCTGAGGGCACTTGAGCGAATATCCCCGAGATTATTCCTGAAACTTTCGCGGTCACGGCGCCGAACTCATTGCGCTTCTCAGCCGGAGTGGCGTCCGAAGTAGCGGCGGAGCGGGAAGATATTTCTCAGGCAGAGATTCCTCGCCCGCTATGCGCTGACAGCGGTACTTTCCTCGTTCCCGGGAGCTCTGGAGTGCGGACGATATCGTCTCTACGCGGATGGAGTATCCAAACAAAATGCGTCGGGACGTATTCCTTTTCGGAACGAATGATTTCAATCCTCGGCGTCGAGGTGACCGGGGAGCGAGACTCTACGTAATCCTCTTCCGAGCTGGGCTCGCGGCTGAATATTCCAGCACCGATACCGAGATCGCTCAGCGATAGAACACGGCTGAGAGTTTCCCCTCTTCGCTCTCGAACATGTCAGAGGAGTTCAACGCCGCTTCGGTCGCACCGCAGTTCCTCCCGTGTCTTGATAACCTCCGGCAGTGCTTCGCGGTTCGTGCGTGCCTGCTATAGCAAATGGAGAAGAACTCGCGGTCCGCAGTTTCAACAAAAAACCCAAAGGAAAAGATCTCCTGGATTTATACCGCATACACATAGAGAGCTCCCTCGAGAGCCTAATGGTGAAATTCAGGGTAAGAAGAAGCTCGCCGAGCCGGCTGGCTGTCTGCTTCCCCACTAAGCTTAGTAATCCCAGATCGAGAGATAAACAGGGAGAAACACCGACTGAGGAGGCGGAGCACGGATCCGAATGGAAGCTATGGGCTGCAAAAGACTGAAGAAGATCGTAGCCTTGAGCCTCGGATGATATACGTCTGTTTGCCGCTCCCAGCTTCCGACGTTGTTAGAGACGAATGCTGAACAACAAGTCAATGAATCGTTCCGAAAGAAAAAGATGGACGAGGGGAAGCTGACAGAGAAAATACGTCATCAGCAGTCGGCGAACTCTATGTTTCTCGCCCAAACTCAAACTCTTCTTTTTTATTCGTCTCGAACGATCATATCCTCGGTGTTTAGGCCTCTCGCGAGTGCTTCGGTGAGACGACGTTTGAGGGAAAAAACGGACATCTCTATTCATCGGGTCACGCGAAACTAAGCATCTCTATTCAAAAATCCCAGAGTTCTTGCTCCGCGCTCGCTCCATCTCCGAGAGCTACGTCGAATCCTTAATGACTCGACGATACTTCCCCGATCCTTATCCGATGCTTTCGATGCATCTTCGGGTTCAGAGCCCTGGATCAGATCCGGACGTCGGATGATCGTTCGCATGACGGACACCTTCGTCAGCCATGCATGTGGATGACCTCTGCGGCAACGAGTGAGACCTTGACAGCTCCGGTAGCAGACGTTGAAAGATGTCAGAAATGTTTCTAGCGTTCTTTGTTCGATTTTCCCAGCATGCCGGCGCTGGGCCCGCGGATCCCGTGTACGGTCGAAGATGAAATCAATAGAACAAGAACTCGCTCCGTCGTACCGGCGACCTCGTTCCGTTGCGCCGGAGCGAAAGTCCCCTTTTCGTCTGTCTGTTTGACCGTGCATGCGTCCGATCGCCCGTCTGTCGATCCATCTATCTCTTCGTCCGTTGGTCTGTCTGTGGATCCGCTCGTTGTTGTCTTATGTTGAATAATGCCACCGTGGCCAAGCACGAAATTCCGTGACTGGCCTCCGTCGCACACTTTCTGACGGCGACGTTCGCATGTTCTGACCGACCGACCGACCGACCGCTCGCCCGTCCGAAAACTAAGATCAATCCGTTCGTCCATCAGCGCTTCAGCGACGAGGAGCGTCGCATGGACTCCGAGAAGAATCGGACCAAACGAGTCCGTATATGAGGAGAGTTTGACATTGAGCGGAGGAGAACACATACCGAACAAGTGACACCGGGAAAGAACGATGAGCCTAAGAAGAAGAAGACGAGGAGTCACAGAGGAAGACGCGAGAACGTGCTATGCGAACATGCAGTGGTTTATTCATGTAGTCCTGAGGAGGGAGATCCTTCGCGTCTGTCGGAATGAATTGGGGCAGCCCCTGAAGATTGGAACATTGGATCAATTATTTACCTACCACTCCTACAGGAGACGGGAAGGGGAACACAGACCGGGGAAAACCACGCGAAAGAAAGACAGCCCGAACAGGCTGTCGCCACATTTTCCGAGAGGAAAGAATACTCGGTTCGAGCTTGGAGCAAGACTGATTTTTGCGACAGCGTCTCCATATGCGTGCGATGCTCGCGAGAGCGAATTTGTATATACATATGGAGAAACGAGCTCAATCTTCCGATCTAGAACTACCTAGGTACTATCTGTTCCGTTGTGAAATTAAGTGTTTCCTGGTTCGGGGCATCCATCGCTCATGTTCGCTTCTGCTTTCAGGCAACGCAATCTTCAGTCTGTTCTGCCCTTCAATCAATCCACCTCTGACTGCACTTGACAGCAGTAAGTTCCGTTAGGAGTTCATTCTACGCCGTTCTTTTCCTCGCGAGCATTTATTCGCTGTATCGTATCCTGTAGATCTTTGTGAACACGTTCTAATCTCGTTCGTACCTATGAAAGAAATCCCGATGGGAGCTCCTTTGCTTTGTCTCGAGAAGACCGAGTTCAGACGATTGATCTGGCGACGAGCCCGCGAAAACGAGGAGCCACGTGATTGCCTCAATAGTTGTTGCACGAGTTCGGGTCTGGGGGATAGGGGAGCTGGACGGGTCAGGGATCGCTGGGAACACAAGGGGGTAGACGAGGGGGATCTTAGGGTGAACGTGAATGAATAGATGGATGGCTGTGAATTTGGTGGGAGGAAGATGGACCGCGAGAGGATAGGGGGGAAAACGAAGGAACATCGTGAGGAACGTCGCACTGTGCCAGCCTCGAAGGATACACGGCGGTCGTCCCAGTGAAGGAGGTATCTAGGCGGCGAGGAGCAAATCTGTGGGTACGGGACGGAGAGGTTGCGAGAGCCGAGCACAAGTCCTATAGTGAGTCACCGGCAAGCAGGCCGAACGGCGGAGGCAACCTTCTGATAGATGAAGGTACCTGGCAGAGGAAGACTCCGGCCTTCGAAAAATGCACATCGCATCCGAATCGCTCTCGCTGCTCGGCTGCCGGTGGATGTGCGGTCGTCGTCGCTCCGTTCATTCGCTTGCTTGCCTGCCTGCCTGCCTGCCTCGGATGTCAAATCCATTCATCTTGGAAATGAGCAGCTCCTCTCGATCGCCTTAGGGCTCGTCAAAACCACCTCCGAAAGACCAAAGGGCACAACCACCACCGGCTGTGGTTCTTTCTCCATTCTCCGATTTTCCTCCTCCTGGCGCGACCTATCGACAGTCGCCCGTTAGGTTAAAGCGCCGCACTTCATCCGGTTCCTACTACTAGAATGACGTCCTTGCGGGTTCGATTAACGATTTATTCTCTCTTCTCCAGTGGCCTCGCCTGGTGACCATTCGCTGGTGCTCGACGAAACCCAGGACAGTCAGACGGATCTTCTGATGGAACGCGAAGTGCGCGAAGACTCTGTCGAAAGGGATCTCATGACGCTGTCGGGTTCTCAGAGCCCGTCCCAAATGCAAGCGGCAACCAACCAGGCTCTAGCGATGACAGATTTAGGACCTCCAAGTCTGAAACGACCCGATTCCGGAGGCAGTGGACCCGAATCACAAATGAACGTCGCCGATGACGGCAACGGGAGCCAGAAACGTCGAGGTCCTCGAACTACGATCAAAGCGAAGCAGCTCGAGACATTGAAGGCCGCCTTTGCCGCAACGCCGAAGCCCACCCGTCACATCCGGGAACAGTTGGCCCAAGAAACCGGACTCAACATGCGCGTCATACAGGTTCGTTATCGACGTTGAGACTTCCCTCCCTCATTCCCGGATAGATTCTCTTCAACAGCCTCCTGGTTTGGAGTCGAGGGCTAGTCTGGGCGAGATTTTCTCGCAATTGGTGTTTTCATCGGATCTGATCGAGTGATCCTCCACCTAATTCACCCTCCGCTCTCGGCTCCGATTCACATCCGGTTGTCACTCATTGATTTTATCGCTCTCGCATACCAAACAAGCGACTCTAACCCCTCAGTCAGAACGGGGTTGTGCATAAGTCGGCATTATGCTCCTGATAGACGGTTGGCTGGCGTGCCGGTTGCCGAGTTGCTCGGTCGGTCGGTCGGATGCACACGGTGAGCACGTAAAAGCATAATATCCAATTTAGACTGCACGACGTGCGCTCACGTTGCTGGCGACATCAATCATTGTCTCTAGACTGACAGCTCGCTTTTTCGATGCGGAAACGTGCTCTCGTCGGAATATAAGTGCCCCGAGCCCAAACAGACGTACTCAGTACGAATTCGGAATAGTCGACTGCGTGTAAACGTTGCGGTTTACGACTAAGCAGGCGGCTTCCATGACGACCAGGCGAATCTAATGTCACCGTAAACAAGCGGAATAAATAAAGTTATGTCACGGGAGCGAAGTGTGGTTCGAAAACATGATCGAAAACAAGCGACTCAAACGACAGCCGATTCGAGGGATATCGGATGTTCAGTCTGGGATATTCCATCGGAGACTTTCCGTTTCTCTATCGATGATCCCTCGACTTTGGATCGCACAAATCCGCGCTGTGAGTATTCGGGATTGCCGCGACGCTTCTCACAATCAATGAGCGTGAACGGTCCCCAATTCTACTCAAACTCCGGATTTTCGGATCTGTCTGAGTTCTGCTCCTATCCACGTGGAGGTTTTGGGCGTCCGCTTGGCAACGCTGTGAGAATACAATGAGCAATAAGTCTGCAGATGAACTTCACTCGATCCATTCTTTCAGAGCTGAAGTTGTAACCTTGTTAAGCAACCGCATCTCCTCGGACCTTCTTTTTTTCATTTCATTTTCATCTCGGTCAAAGGTCAGGCTGGTTTAGTGAGTCCCACTAGCTTTGAACCCTGGGGTCGTTCGATCCGCCTCCCTCGGGCGACCGCGTAGTTCGAAGAAAGCCCGGATTGATATCGAGAGACATTGAAAAAAGATCCATTTTACGTCCTCGTTTCGACATTCTCTCGAACAGGATGTGCGCGAGCGGTTTTCGAACTTCGAATACTTGAAGCGAGCTTCGAACCTTTCCCTGTCTCAGTTGTTCTGATAGGAAAGAGAACACATCCGTGAAGCAGTTGTTTTACGGTAGCCGGCATTTACGTGAGTTATTAGACGTCGAACCGTAAACGGCAGCCTGAATGAAGCACTCGTCAACGGGAGCGGCAACGCCCCGCAAACTTCCATCCTGAGCATAAGCTCTTTAATTGCAACTCTTGCGGTGGTGACCCGCTTCGGAGAAACGGAGCGCTATAAGTTTCGTAATGGGAATGAGAGGAACAAGAAGATTTTCAGCGAGCGGCCAAGCTCCTCTCCTCTGTCTCATTTCTTTTCGCTCCTCGCGATGGAGGAAAAAAACAGTCTCCACAAGGTGGATCGCCCAGGGCGGACCGAGAGCATTCTCTCAGCCGATTGGGAACGGGAACGATTTATTTTTCCCTCCTCTTCTGCAGTCCCTGTGTCCGAGGTTTTTTTGTGAGTGTGTGAGCGTGAAACAAAATTCATAGCCCTCAAAACGACTCCCACCTCCTCATTCCGAATGGCGAGTCCGACGGGGAGCCGGCCTCGACTCGATACAACTACCGGGAGCACACATGGAAGAAGTAGAAAAAAAAGAAGAACGCAGTGAGCGGGGTGGAGGGAGGACGCCAGAGAGAGGAAGCCGCGGTCGAAACCTGCGAGGAGGTGCCCACTCTCAAATTCTCTCTGTAACGCAGTGGAAAGCTATTAATTTGCTGTGGGTGCTCAAATGCCTCGAGGCTGCGCCGTCATACGCTCCGAAAGCATGGGATTCTGGCTGAAAAAAATTCTGCTCGAGGTCAAACACGCGACTCACAATGACAGGTGGAAGTGTGATGTAGGGCGCCCAGGTAGCGCTCCGGGATGAGGTCCCGATTTTTCGCAAACTAATTCAAAATCATGCAATTTCGCGGATCGTTACGGACCTCATGCAGATGACCGCACCTCCCTCTACTTTCCGAAGCGGGCTTTTGAGGAAATTATTCCCCCGGAAATCCTTGGTCGCTGGGGGAAAATCCGGAGGAAAAGTTGAAGGCTTCACGCAACGAGACTTCAGCAGACAGACGTCTTCGTAAATCCCAAGCTCCCGAATATTGAAACGTCGCACATTCGGATGTCGTATAGCTTCGGGGACGAATGCGACCTGTTTGAGATGCATTGTGAATCACTGCCGTCGCGCTCTCTTTCGTCTCCGACTGGAGACTCTCTAAGAGCAGGAGGCTTCGTCGGAAGTCCTGCGAAAACAGAGCGCGCTTCTCTCTCTCTCTCTATTTCTCTGTTGGTATACAATGCCGAACCAGACACACACACACACGAACTCGGGAAGACATTTCGGGTGAATCGGAGAGAAATTCGCGGACTGTCTACATTGTGTGGGGGGGTGATTTCATCTCAGCCGATTATCACCTCGAATAGCTCTCGTCAAGAGATTTCGATCTCTTATCGGGTTCGTCCCATCAGAATTAGCTCAGCGCGCCGATCTCTGTTCGACATGAACGCCAGAGGTCGCGCGACGAATGCTGAAACTCCCAGACACGGAAATATCGCGTAATGTACCTTTCCGAATAATGTAAGGCCAGCACAGGATAAATTGTGAGACGTCCATGCCAGCGCTGTCAATGATCGGCGGAAGAATATAGACTGCGGTCGTGCTTCGGGCTCTCCGTAGGACATCGCACGATTCGCGACGCGGCTCCTCTGGCTACTGTGTACTTCAGTGATTCGGCTGTCGAGCTCTAGATGATACCGCGGGGAGTTCGCTCCTCCAAATAGTTTCCCCTAGCGGTGGGAATCGGGAGGAAATTCTCTCCGAGACCTCGATACACCTTTCAGCAACGCACAGCTCCCCGGGATTTTGAACGATTACATCATCCACCATGGATATCGGAATCATTCCGTGGAAAATATTGGAATCAAACTCGACCCTTGGAGCGAAGGAGAATCCATAGCGTAGTTGGATCTCCCTAAAGCGAAACGATTCTGGCTCGAGGTGCATACTGCAAGCCTGGGTCAAGGTTTTGGATTTTCACCTTCCACAGCGTTTGGCTGATTCCCATTCAGTCAGGCAGCAAATAGGCCTCGGCCCTAGAGCAGCGCGAGGCGGAGCGAAGCGGCTTTCTTCCACCCATTGGTTGGTGGCCCGGTATCCGGCACGTCGTCTGTTTTTGGAACAACTCCAAGACGAGGGGAACTCTCGTCTACCTCTGAACGAACGAGCATGCTGTCTGAACTGGAAGTCCGCAGAGATTCGCGTCCCTATCATTTCGATCGATGCTTCCATCCTGACATCCATTTATCACAACCTCGTGGAAAGATCTACGATCATTCATCACGGAGTGGGATGCCTCTCATATTCCGAAAGTGTGCTGAGAATTGGCACGATGAGTCGGGGCACCGCGTCTTCGATCGCGAGATCACCGTGAGAATTCCGACGAAAATCCCGCTACCTCATTGTTGCTGTGTTGTCGAGAACCATGATTGGGCTCAATTAGGGGGCGTTGTATTTGTTTTAGAGAAGACGTTTCATATCCTCGGCGGGAGCAACAGCGGCGGCTGCACCCCGACTTCGAGTCTCGAATGAATGGAAGACACGCGCCCACGATTTGAACAACTCGAGTTACGAACTACTTGAACTCGCGCGGGCTCGTAACTCGCCCAGCCGAAAGACCGTGGCGAATTCGAGCAATTTTTTACCGCAAGTGAATATCTCCGTTCGGCTTATTGCCCGCGCTGCTGGTCGGTCTGCGGAGATGCACTATGACTCCGTTCGCCGATTCGTCACGGGACGGTCGGAGCTTATCTTAATGGAGCCCGAGCTCCATCTGCCTGGGTAATCTGTCCAGCGCAAAACGACCCGATACCTTTCGCGACGGATGTCACCGAAAACGGATCTGGCCATAGCTCCCGGAGCTTCCTGCGTCTCTGAGCATCGTAGGCCTGAAAACGAGAATCGGTGACGCTCATGGAGTTCCAAAGATTCATCTCCTCGCATCCTTCCGTTGAGTCTATACCGCCTCCTGCATGGAGCCGACGAACGGCTTATACCTTCCGTCGTCCTCTCGTCCCGTACTTCCCTCGATCGCGTTGTGCAAGCTCGCCGCGGCGGCGTTCGTTGCAACTATGAAGGAACGAGATTTTACGGCCTGAACGGTGATGCTGGTCTTTGCACTCGTTGTAGTCGAGCTGATGGTCGGAGTAGTGGGTAGCTGCTGTAGTGTGTAGAGCTGCTGCTCTTGATGATGATGATGGTGGTGGTGAAGATTCCCTCCTCATCTAGTTGACCGAGCAACGTAGCAACTCGCCTATAAACATTATACGAGGCCGTCTCCTCGAGGCGTACCAAGGCGATTTCGGTTTGCCACTGCACACATAACCGTAAAGCGCTCGCTGCCTGCTCGTCTGCTAACAGCCGCGGCCGCGACCTGCGAGCCCAGGAGCAGAACCAGTCCGACAATCATCTTCTGATGTCGGGACGCGGGAAATTATTTACTTCTGCCGGACTCGCTGGCTGGCTGGCTGGCTCGTTGCCAGCAACACCTCCCGGCCGGCGGACGAGTCTCTCGGACGAGAGGGAAAATCCGTGCGGAATCCTCTGGGAAAAATCTTCGAAGCTGCTGGCCGTTCATTGAGAAACTCGGAAACGAACAAATCACATGGTCATGCATCACGAGCGTGGCGCCAGTGTTGTTGAGACCTGGTCCATGAAATCCGAGTCGCTTACGCGGAGCTGCTTTTGTCCGACCGACGAGAGAGCAGACAGCCGGACAAAAAAGAGGAAAACCTACAGTGTCACCGATCAGAGAAGTCACTCTGTTGGTGCAAGAGCCTCTTGGGTGTCTGGGCGCGCGCGATTGAGGTGACAATAGCTCTGATTAGCGAAATCACCCCTTTCTCGGTCGGGCTCAGGTCGCTCGACCGGACGGCCGCTCGCCCGGTCGTTTCTCCATTCGTTCCCAACACTCACTCAGTCGGACGCGTTCGCTAACCCTGTCTGGGCTTCACCGGTTAGCGCCTTATCGGCTGGCTCGGCTTATTTCTTATCTTGGACTGGGCCGTTATCAGTCGCATTCTTCTATCGAAGCCCACCAGTCACTCAACTACCCACCCACACGGCGACTACCACCAGCCTTCGTTCAGTACCCCCCTCTCGGCTGGTTTCCTTCCTCGTCGCGAACGCTGCCGGCGGGCGAGCGAGCGAGAGATTCCCCCCCCGCCCCCATTCCCCCCTTCCGACGGTTCCGTCCACGAGAGAACCCCGTCCCGTGTTCGGCTTAGCCCCCTTGGGCCTGGTGGGCAAGGACCCATTCCGTTCCGATCCAAACGTGGACACCCGATCTAAAGACGACGTCTCTCGACAGGTTTGGTTCCAGAATCGCCGTTCGAAAGAACGCCGGATGAAGCAACTCTCAACGTTGGGACCTCGACGTCACTTTTTCCGAAGTCCTCGCCGGGTTATGAGGTCCTTGAGGCCCGGTATGAGCCCCGATCCCCTAGACGACTCACCGCCTGATCTCCCAACTGGACCCCAAAACGGCTTCGGATACCTTTCGGGTGAGTTTCTGATTCGTGTCGGCTCGTAACGCGGCTCTGTTCGCTAGCCCAGCAAACTGAATATCACTTCATCAGTCAGTCAGTAAGTTAACTGGGTTTGAGTTACAACAAAACCCATCGGCAGCTGAGGATGGTCCTGGCGAGCGCGAGTATCCTGTCCATGTTGTCGGACTTTCCGCTAGTTTCAGTTGTCTGCCGATGTGGTTCTGTGCGCGGAGTTAATTAAAAAATACGAAATGGCTTTGGGGCACCACGGGCCGAAAGTGTTCTCGTTCCTCGCACAGATGGATAGGCAAGCCGAAGGATTCGGACGAATCTTCAGACAGCTCGACAGAAGACGTATGTGGAGTCAGAAGTATGGACGCACGCACGGACAGAATGCCTGCTTGCCGCACAGACGCCTGAAGCCAACGGCAGACAAAGCGAACGAGCAACAGAAGTCTTGCCAACGTTTTCTTCCTTCGGCTTCGTCTAAGCGGAGGCCTGAACGCTTTTGTTGAGAGGTACCTTCTCGTTGAGGGACCTGAGAAGCTCCTCCCTGGCATATTGGCGGCATAATTCCAAAACAATGCCTCCACACCGACGGCACGGTGTCGACGACGAGACGACGATAGCAACAATAGCTGTAACAACAACGATGACGACAGTCATGAGGCGCGAGCTGAAGGCGAAGTCTTCGTCGTCGAAGCCGACGTAAACGGCCTCACTGCGCGCTGCGGGATGAGGCTCGAACAGGTGTACATCTGTCTTCAGGGGCGGCACGGAAGCCTTTCGAGTTGGGGACGACAACAAATGTACGTCTTTCGAGGCTGCTGTGATCTGACGGAGCATCGGTGGCATTTTCACCCTTACGTTCGTCCCCTCGGCATACCTCGATTTCCATTCACGTTTTATCATGTCGACATCGTCTGATTTTCCGTGATATCCTTTCTATCGTTGCAATCGTCGCCCTCCTCGACGTCGCCCTCCTCGTTCTCCTCGCCCCCCCCCCCCATCCGCATAGTCGCAAGCACCGATAAGACAACACAAGCGGCCCGGTCGGATAACCGACTGGCTGGCTGGTTTGCTGGATGAATCAGGTTATTTTGTAAACAAATGACGGGTACTTCCTGCTAGGGAGGAGCTGCTCGGTTTGTTGACTGGTTCAGTGCGAGCTGAGACTCCAGCCTGCTTGCTCGGTCGCCTGCCGCCTCAAGCTAACCGGAAACCGGATGTTGTCCCGTGAAAAATATCACCCCTCTTCTCCTACGACCGCCCACCCATTTTCCCACTTTGTCCTCCTGACTCCCTCCAACGGGGCTGATACTCAAACAGTACCGCCACCGAAGAGACTACCAGGGCGAGTTCAACTGAGGAGAAGAATGAGACGACGACGATGACGGACGACGACCACCACCGACCACCACTTTGAGCACCATCTCCAGAACGTAGAGAGACGGAGAGAAGCCTCCCCCGGGAATCTCCGTTGAGCGCGTCTTGACTTCTGTACCACGTATAGTATACGTTGGAATACGGATCGGAATGACTGACTCCAAGACGATCCAACAGAGAGCCGGAATAGGTCGACAGGAGTCCAAAGGGAGGGCGGTGATGAGATCCATAAGCCGGTGAATGGTCGACTGCCACCATTGCCCAACGCAAAGGGCGACCGGTGAGGATGTGGAAGAGAATGGGAGTTCAGCGAGGAGAAGAAAACTCGCAAGCGCCCCCTGCGTGCCCCTCTTTTCTCGATTTACATGCAAATTCTCCTTTTGGAGCAAAGAGAAAGTACAGGGGTAAGAGGCATGGCAAGCGAGTCGGGGAGGAGCGACGACAAGGAGCACTGGTCTTGACTTAGTTCTTCCAACTCACGTCCACCGACTGGAGACCAACCGAGCGGCCACCGAAAGCGCCGTAGCTGCACGCCTAGGCCTGTACGGTCCAGATAGCGACGTTCTCTCCGACAGCCATGCGGTAGCCGTGTCTGTCCACGAAGAACTAACGAAGGAAGGCGCGCAAGGAAAAAAACGAAAAACAAAGCACGGGTCTCGACGAGTAGGAACTCCATGATGAAGGGTTCCATGGTATGTGTCCACTTTCCTGCTCGGAGTTGGATCGCGACGGAAGACTGAAAGTCAATGAGCCGATCAGGGGACAAGAGGGAATCGTGAGGCAGTCGAAACGATGTCGTTGATACAGGTGATCTCGGTATCAGACATTTTCGTCTTGGGCACCAGTGCAGGAGCTGCGGCAGCAGAAATCAACCATGCGGACGTTGATGCCTGCGGTTTCGACGAAAGTATCCCGCAGCAGCAGGCAGTCCGTTTATACTCGTCCACGTCCAGCCCGACGTCCACCTGTACGCATGTGTTTCGTTCGGTCTATCCGTCTCGTTCTGTGTTTCTCGCTCACTCGCCTGTTCGCTCACACAGGGGGACGGACAGACGGACGGACACAACGCATCCCGACCAGACCCGTCGGGGTGTGGTCCGAATTTTTTTTTCGTTTTTTTCTGCTCAGAAATCTTCAACATCCTTGTGTCGTCATTTTGATCAGTTGCTTGCTCTAGTCGTCGTTATTCTGCGCAGACATCGGCGGAGAAGAACAAGTACCAATCAAATGCTGTTCGTTGCCATCGTTGTATGACAACGGGACGAAGAGAAATTTGCCGTTTCGACGATTTATGCCCACTGGTCTCGTGCCCTACACGGAACTAAAAGAGGACGTGTGCCTACCTCGGACTAGAACTCTTCTACGCGTCCGTCGGCGTCTGTTCCCGTCGATGTTTTATGGGGCTTGAGTCTTCTCGGACCTAACGTGGACACAAAGAACAACGCCTGGCTGAACTAATAAAGATCCTTACCATCGAAGAAGGTAGCGAGTAGACGATCGAATAAACAACAAAAAAAAGCAGAAGAACAGTCCGAAATATGAATCGGAGGGAAACAGCTCAATAAAGTTCAACGCCACACGAATCAAGAGAGAAAGAAAGGCGCTCCTGTCCCAGTCGATGCTTCGAGCCAGGCGCTTGAGACTTGCTCTCAACCTAATTGTCCCCCCTTTGATCGACAGAATCAGATTAGGCCGCATACCGACTATCAGAATCTGTGGATTTCCATGAAAGCTCTTCCACCGGAAGATAGTAATGTGGTCGATGAAGACACAGCGAGAAAGTTTCAACATTCACCTCACCTCAGAATTCATTCTGTGTCAAAGTGTGAAAAAGCTGTTCTCTTTCCTCCTCCACTCCTCCCTAATAACAGAGACCGGCCGCCCGAAATTACAGGTTGCGTACCGTGGGTGCTGCCGTCGGTCGTCATTATCCCAGTCTTGTGGTTTCGCCTATTTACAGAAGAAATTTGACCAATGTCCGTCTCTATTCAGTGTTCTCGCCTCCCGAAACATCCCCTTCGCGTCCTGCACGCGCGAAGTGGCGAGTTAAAAACCGTTTTTACGCGATGGTCGCCCAGCTCTGGCTACTGCCGGCCTTTTGTCATGGACCACATTCGGCAAAGGATGAGAGATGGCAACGACAAAGGAGCGAGAAACAACTACTGTTCGACGGAGGGGATGAATGAAAGCCATCTGAAGAGATAAATCGCTGGGGGAAAAGAAGAGCGAACACCTTCGTCAACCGACCGTCACAGAGTTGCCATCGGAGCAGGTAGCTTCACAGGCTCGGGGAAACCAACCAGCGATACAGCTCCCGGAGCGTCGCCTCGAGACAACTCCGCCGCGGTCGCTCTGAAGCCCGTGGGACTCTCTTTTCTCTATGCAATCACGGTCGAAGGACACGTGCTGCCGTCATTGAAGACCCTTCAAAAAAGAGAGAAAATTCTGCCAACCGCAGGCGAATGAACCGGCGGGCAATTCAACGAACGAGCAAACAGACATCCAGCCCGCCAGCCAGCCTGTGGAACAGGCGGCACCCTCTCATCCGATGGTTCCACCATGGGCTTTCCTCGCCATAGGCCATGAGCGATGGTGGAACTGAAAAATTCAGTAATCTGCAGAAGCCCTCAACACCCTAAGATCGTGGAAACGGCGAACGCCCTCCTCCGGGTATTCGCACGTCTCCGTGGACTGTCCTCGATCTCCCGACCCTGAGTCGCGAGGACACCGAGGAATCGTCGAGCTGGCGAACGCCCCGATTTGAAACATTTGTAGAGCGATTGAGGCGTTTCACTCCGTCCTCTTGAAGACAGATCGAGCCATGGCTATTGAATACATGTGTTTTCGGAGCTCTGAGATCCCAAAGTTCGTACGTGATCCGCATTCCGGTCGAATGCTCCGATGTGTCTACTGTGAGCGCGGTGCCACTCGACGGGGATGGCGTAGCGAGTTTTTCGCAGCTCATGGAGCTTTGCTACACCTGCAAAGTCTAGCTGTGGTTTGGACACCCCGGACCCGTGGTCGCGAAGCCATACCAGATCGCGGTAACCTTTGAGCGTGCCTACGAAGAATAGCACAGTAATTTACCGTGGGGAATGGCGGGTAATTGAATTCAATCGTGTGTATGAAGTAAACACTGTCGACAAACGCAGATCGGGGAAATATGGGGGGCGGGGAGGGCTTGGGCGCGGGGTCCCCTAGCGCCCGTAAAATGAGTTAGCGCGAGAGGTACGCCCGGAGACAAGCGGCATCGCGAGATAGAGAGGACGACCGGCCGCCACAAGAGTTTGCTCGGATGTGTTCGAAAAAGGGGAATATTGTCGAGGGCGTTACTGCTCACAGAGTCTGCTGGAGGCGTTGTGGTTGTCTATGGACTGCAAATTGTCGCCCATGGAGATGGAGCCGCCTGCTCGTGGCGGCGGCGGCAGTGGTGGTGGTGTTCGAGTGACAGGGTTGTGGCCAGCCCGAAAGAGGGTGCGAACCTGGGAGGGGAAACGACATGGAAAGACGAAAGGGACAGCGAAGAGGAGGACGACGACGACGATGAGGAGCAGGAGAACGAAGACGCCCCGCAGTGCCCACAGGCCTTTGTGCTGGAGGGAAAGATCAACCCTTCTGACAGAATCTATTTATTCCTCATAAGCACCGCCGCCACCTGCTGCATCTGCGATTCGCAGACCCCACGAGCGAGCCGGAGACAGACTGTCCACCGGCAATCGTCTTCATTAGGCTGCGAACTCTAGGCATCACCTTCGAGTGCCTCGGCGGTGTCAAATGGTCCGAATGTTGTCCTAACTGTCGGAGAGCTGCGCGGCTCTTCACAAGAAGCGAAGCTTTCTTGGTCCAGTGAGCTCAACAACGGAAATCACGGCTGAATTTTGAGCTTGATATCCTGGACGACAACGGGGGGAGTTTTATCGGAAGCCGCCAGCGAAATATACGAGTCTCGATAGTTTCGGGGAGAATGCTTGGTCCAGTCGGTTCGGAGAGTCACCCTGGTCGAAACTTACCCGCAGCCCAGGATCGACTCGGCTTGCCAGTTCGCTGCCACCATAGATCACTTGGACAGAGCTGTCTGATAAGACAAGTCAACGGAGGAACCGCGGGTGCTTCGTAGAATCGGGGGAGAGGAGGGGAAAAAACGCTGCTCCAAAGATCGCGCTTAAGTATCTCCGCATTGATTAACCCTCGATGACTGATGAACTTCTCTTCGATCCGGTAGTCCTGCAGAGATAAACTGCCGCCAGTCGGCGGAGCGTCTCAACGCGGACACGGGAGGCGAACCCGCTTTCCACGAGCTGGTTCCGAGATCTGAGAGCACAGTGTAAATTTGTTGTCGCTTCTTCTTCGTTTGACATTCCTTGTACTCAACACACACGTGGAACTCTCGTACACACCACCTATGAACATGTTTGCTTTTCCCAGACGAGCCGCGAGCGAACAAGAAACACGTGCTCGTCCACTTCAAGGGTGTGGTATCTCCTGAAGACTCCACTCTTGATTCCCCCGGGAGAAGGGGAAGGGGGGAATATCTGAGCTCGACATTCGAAAACGAGTCGGGAAAACATACATCGAAACGAGAGAGGAAATAAAATCAGCCTCTGCACTGAGACTCGATTGTAAGAAAATCTATTTCCACACGGGCGATCGAATCTGACTCTCTCTCCGTTCTTTCCAGATTCGTCCAACCAGGAGTTTGGCTATTCGCAAAATGGGGGTCAGGGCCCTGGCTTCTATGACTTTTTCCCCGGACAACAAGGAGAAGGACTTCATTTCGGTCACGCTGCGAATCCCAGTCTCTCGCCTAGGAATGGTTAGTACTCACTCGATCTTCATGATGTTCCTCCTCGGAGTGGAACATTGCTCCTGGGAGAGAATCCAGGGAACAGGTTCGCTTGGGTCGATGTAGGTTGGCGCTCGGTTGTCTGTCCGATCATAGGCGTTTGACCCTTTCAATGGCATCCATCTTTCACGAGGAGATAAATGTGCTGACCTTCTCTAAGCCCGAGCGTTGAATATCCTTTTCTACACTCAAACCCGAATCCGCCGACAAAAATGGAGGTTGCCCCTTGTGGGAAGTTCTCTCAAAACGGAGCTTCCGATCGGAGTTGGTCCAGTTTCGGGTGACTGGCTCTCACGGGTTAGACGAATTTCGGCGTTCTGGGTTTCGGCGTTCCAGGTTTCGGTTTTCTGGGTTTTGGCGTAAAAGTTTCGGCTTACTGGGTCTATACCCTCTCGCGGGTCTTACGGTCGCGAGAAGCGATGATAAAACAGATTCCGTTTTCTTCAGGTGTGGTTCTATCACCGAACGACGCGACAGCGTTCATGCAAGGACAACACGCGACTGAGATCCAACAGCGTTCGAGTCCTGACTCGGTGTTGAGCCTTCAGGGATCAGAAGCGCCGTACGGGCAGCCGCCAAGGAGCGATTCCGGTGGCAGCTTTTCCACGCCGGGCGCGAATGATCCTTCCGTTTGGTGAACGAAGCAGCATTAGTAGTCGGAGAAGCGTCGGGAGAATACAGAAAAACCCACACTGTTTGAAAGAGAGCGTCCTCAGGGATAGATCTGTACATAAATATTGAAAAGGTCGAGTTTAGCGGATAGTCGTTGATTGAATGGTGTATATTATGCTTGCGATCCGGTCTGGCGTAGAGAAAGCCTTCGGTCGACGAATTGATGGAGAGACCAGGTGTGAAACCTATCCCAATTCGGTCGGTCGAATGAATCGCAAGCTGGAGCTCCACGAGAGTTCGCTCCGCCGTTGTCCGAGATAGGGGAAAGTCACTGTAGATAAGAAGGAACATATCAAACTCGTTCCAGCGAGATTTCGAATTTATCCAATCTCAACGGATACGCGGCTGAATCTCAAAAGGTTCTCCAGATAGAGCCGACCTCCGCATCCACTGAGCGAATCAAAATGTAGTTTGACAATGAATATTAGACCCGAATGACCGCAGTCAGAGCAGCCGAGTGCGTCAGGATTCTTGCCGGATTTCCTGGTCAGCCTTGTCTCCCCTAACACGTATCTCAACGTAGCCTAGTCGTTCAATCTCCAAAACGCTTATGCGACACGGAATCCTAAATGGAATTATCAAGAGTCTGAACGCAGCCGGTGGTCGCTGACGCTGTCGCCTATCTCGATCCGATGAGGAAACTCGTCCACGCAGATTGGAGTTTTTGCCTGTTTCTTCCTCGTCCGATCTTTTCAAGTGCAAAGCGTGTTAGTTGTGGGTGATTTCCGGGGGACTGTGTAAACGAACGAATGCGTGGTAGAGCGGAGAACATTGTGATGTAAATGCATGCTATCCAGCTCGGAGTATTATTATTATCATTATTACATAGAATCATCGACTGATTATGTCCACTTTCTATCGACTGACCGATGCCGTGAACGTCATTCAATTTCGAGAGGAGCCGGTCAGACGCTCCGTCGATATGAACGGGCGGAGGGACCGCATTATCGCTCCGGCTGGCTGAAAAACTAAGAACTCGATATACATGGGTCGAAGATTCTCGATCGACCTGATCAACCGATCACGGGAAGAAACAAGCAGAAAAAAATAATACAATAAATGTCTACTGTGAACTCTTTACACTCACAGCGCACAAAATAAGGTATTTTCATTGGAAGCCTTCCCGAACCCTGCGTCGCTGCTTCGATAGTGGAAAACAAGAAAGGAAGGAATCCAGCAGATATCCGATGCCCAAAGTCCTTTTTAGCCGGGCCGAATCTCCAAGATCAGAGTGTGTCTCTCGATTCTCGGGAAGCCTAAGGACTCTCTGGGCTCGACGATCCCCGGACGCTCCTCCGTTAGTCGATCGATTATTGCTGGAGTCGGGAGGCGTGGAGAACGAGTTTGTGTTACATCGTCAACTCGAGGAACATTGTTCTACCCGATTGGCGTTTCAAGGAGAATTCTAGATTTAGATGCGATACACGAGTCTGCCAATTCGTCGAAGAGTTTCTACCAGACTGCTTCTCGTGCTCGTTACCAGAGGAAGACAGGTAGGAGTTGAGCTTTGGGGCCCGGGAACCCCTTTCATGGTCGGAGCTAGCGTCAGTCCTGGAAACCTGCTCCGTTCGTCCAGCTGACTGAGTTCACTCGGCTCGCTCCTCTAAACGAGCACCTACAGCGCTGCTCCGACCCCTATGAGGCCTGGATCGAATATTAGAGCCCCGTGCTCGTTCGAAGCACGAGCAATCGACAACATCTCGGGATCGAAGTTTCGAACCAATTCGACACGGGAATTTCCCGGTACGCCAAGGAGAATCTCTCAAAAGTTGCGGCTCAGCGCGGCCGTATCATTCATCCCTGGCGATTCCTCTCGATCGGATATCGGAGCGACGGCTTCCGCATAGATCCGTCTGTGCGCGAGCCGCTAGGTCCCGTTTTGAACGACGACGGCTGGTCATTTCTGCTGGTCCTGTCAAAGCTGCGCGAACTTTGTAGCTCTACCTGTAATCTATCGTTACACTCTGCGGGTCTCGTTCGTCCAATCGTTCAGTAACTAGTTTGTTGCTTGACTGGTTCGAGTCCAGCGGTGTCCACAGTCGTGACCAAGCTAACCACGTGTGCCGTTTCCTCCGGAGGTACTCGAGTGTCTCAGGTGACAAATTGCTCTTCTGGCGGCATCAACATCAGCGGCCTCCTACAAACTCAAGCTTCCGAACTCTCACTCAGTGCCCGGAACAACAACAACAACATCACGGACCAGGGAAAAGCCGGACTCTCCGTTGCCGGTGAAAGTTGCGCGAATTGCGTGAATCTGCCGCGACAGACCCGGTATCCGTATATCGGTTGCCCTTTGGCTCGACACGGCGTACGGCGTTACCCAGCCAGCACGGATTTCGACTGGAAGAATTTTTCGCTCCGGATCTCCATTGACTACTGGGCACTGTGAAGGAGATTCGGCAGTCTGCGTTATTTTCTGGATCGACTCCGCCGTGTGCCATCGGTCTTGTTGGCGAAATTGCTGCACGGATGCTCGTCCTCCGATGACAATGAGCGGACAGAATCGATCAAGAGGGAACGAGTGCGCAGATTTTTGTCCGCTTAAACCAGGTATGTATCCATCTTCCCGTTACTCGCTCTCTCGTGAGCTGCGTTCCACCGTCGCTCCGTTCCCGGCCATTTGTTTTCCGAAAAAAACTCATCGTTGACACTACTCGGACCAGCTAACGAAGGAACTAGCGATAGAGCGTGCTGTCATATCGAATACACAGCGCACGGGTTTTTCAGCCAGCTCCGCATCGCTCATCTTCCAGATGATTTCCTGCCCTTGCTTTCCGCTGAGTTCTCGAGCGTTTTTTGCTTGCTGATAGTTTCTTCTCAGTTTCGCATCCAGGTTCCTGTGCTTGCCACCTAGGCCGAGCTCGTTTCCCTTCCGTTCCCGACGTATATTGCAGTGACAAGGATAGCTCCCGGAACATCCACTCCATCTCGTCCTTATTCGAGTAGACGGCCACTGCGGAAAAAAAATAGAACTCACCGCAGACAGCCTCATAAACAAAACAAAGAACAGATACACCCGACGCGACGGTGCGACTTCTCAATCACGGGCGCTCACGAATGGCTCCGACGGTATCTGATTCGTCTGACACGAACGCTCGCTATGCGCTTCCGCGACCGATCGCGTAGTCGAGTGTCAAGCAGGACGAGCTAATCATATTCAAGCACGAGCACGATCGGCGAGACAATGGTCGCTATTATCGGAACGAGCCGCACAGCAACGGAATTATACGCCGCTCTGAGTTCGCTATTCGACGTTCACAGAATTCGTTACTCAATCACGTACCGGAACGCTGGACGCTGCTGGCGTTTGCCCCCGGGCTGAGAGTGGGAGGACCCCGATCCGAGAGCGGGCTCGATTTCAGTTCGGAAATGATTCTGGATCCGTGGACGTCCGATGTTATCGCGAGCTGAATAACCACACTCGCTCTCAGATAAGCCTCCGGGACAGACGAGTCCAAGGAGACGCAGACAGGCGGATAGACGCTCTGAATAAGCAGCCGCTGCTCCCAACGTTGAACACGGACATTTAAGGCCAGAGGAGGCTTCTATGTTGTATGCTGAGATGAACGACGACGACGACGAGGAGAATTCGCTGTCGTGTGTGTACACACGATGATGAGATAGAGAGTTCCGGAGTTGTAATGAAAGAACTCGAGATCACCCGAATCTAAACATTCATTTGCGAGGCGCTTCTTGTGCCGAAACAGGAATTCGCCACAGCCGCCGCTGTCGTGGAGAGAAAGCGTTCTGAATTAAAAATATTTTTTAGACTCGCAGCCCCTTCAGCACCAACACCGACGAACGAGGCGGGCGGGAGGCAGTCGGGCAAGCCAAAAAGGGCTCGAATTCAACTCAAATTCTCCACGCCACTAAACAACGCACGAGACACCAACACCAGCTGAATGAGTTGGCTTATTCTCACTTCGTTTGCCAACATCCACCCGCTCTGGGTCTCGGCCGGAGAACACACTCGAGTATGATCACAATTTCGGAGCTTCCGAGAGAGTCTCGGCGGAAATACAAACCGTTCCCTTGCACTTCCTCACCCTTGTTCTGTCCTCCGCGGGAACTTACCGCTCCTTCTCCATTGTCAGTGACGTTAAATCAGGCCTTCGGTATAAGTCCCGGGAAAACAGAATTCATTTCATCTGAGTAATAAGGAGTAGGTAATTAATTGATAGTGGATGCAACCTGACATTCTCGCGCCTCGACCAATTACACCAGGACTGTGATGTCGAATCAACCGGCGCGGATAGACGTTCTCCGGGCGAATCTCCGATACTGCGCCATGAAATGTTCGGAGCGAGCCCGAAAGGGAATCGTGGAGGTTGTGTTGCGAGAGGCTAACCAAAAAATGCTGTATGGCAGCGATCGCATCCCTCCGGCGGCGGAGGCGAACCGAATGTGGAATGTGGATCATTTTGTCATGGCAAGCTTCGTACCGGGTAACCCGTTCGTGTTTGGGGCTCGGGTCACTGGTGAGCGTTGTGTGAACGCGATGCACAAAAAATACCGCTGACTCTGCGCTCCGGATAAAAATTGTGGTATGCCAATTGTGATGTCGGCTAGCCGACACGCAAATTATGTTGACAATCAAGCGGAGTAGCGACTAGAGACGGCCGGACGCTCACACTCCGACCGAAAACCTTGAGTACTATTCTCAGTGAGCTCGATAACTCGCTTAATAATGAACATCGACAAGAGGTATGTGGATCGGACTCGCGATCGTTCAACGCGGAGTTTTCGGGGGAAAAATCCGACATGCGCTGTTCTGTGACCAACAGAGGCCACTGCCTCGCGATGAGACGCGAGTGCTCTTCAGTGGTCTCCCACATCGGCGAAAACATAGCTGGATCGAAAGCGGGCAATCTAGAGGACCTCCTCAGATGCCCTCAGATAAAACATTCAGGTTTCGTCGGCATCTGACATCGAGGTTTCGTATGCAGGTGAATAACGAATCATTCTG